GAGTGCTTCATCTAATCCAGAAGCTCAAATGATAGAAAGCAGGACGTTGATGGATGACTTACAATTCCGTGTTTCACAGAGACTCGGACTCAGCAGGAACGTGCCTGTGGAGTCAGTTCAGAGCCAAGGTGTGAGTGGCTCAGAGCGCCACGATGCCCTTCAGCTGCTGTGTGCAGGACGCACACTGAACAAGTGGCCCCGGCCAGCAGAGCGTGGCTGTCACAGCCTGCATACCTCGAGAGCTCACAGTGTTTAGAATTAAGGCTCAATGTGACAGCTGTTCTGAAATATATTTTTTAAAAAGGTATTATACATAGAAAAACATGCATTTGGACGACATGGGAAAGCAGACCTTGGTGGTAGCTCTCCTTCCAGGTGGAGGTCATGCAGTGCCTCTCACTCTCCAAGGAAAGTGGAGGCAGGGGCAGTGGCTTGGGGTGACTTGGTAGAGACTGGGCGGCCGCCCTGGAGCATCCCGCGGGGTGGGACGGACCCCCAGGGTGGAGTGTCCCCGAGTGCCCTCCCCCGGGGGCGGGGATCCCTGAGGTGAGCGGAGTGTGCCGGCCCCTGTCTGTCACTCTGAGAGGTGTCGGGCGAGGTCCCTCTCCTTAGGTCTGTCCTCGTCTGCCTTAAAGGACCCCTGCCCAGCCCCGCCTGGAGAAACCGGTGTGCGGCCTGGGGACACCACCCACAGTTGACCGTGCTCAGTGAGAGGCGTGTCTGTGCCCTTCTGGGAGGCTCCTCTTTCCAAGCCTGAGCCTGGCACCGCCTCGTGTGTCGGTCTTGTTCTCTTGCGATGCTTTTTCCTGCTGAAGAGGGCCGGGCCGGAGGCAGCAGGACTGCCATCGGTCACGTCTGCCTGTGTCCCCGTTGTCCCAGCGTGCTGTCTGAACAGGAGCCAGGCTGCACAGTCCCCAGCCACCTTCCAGCTTGCCTGCTTATCCAGGGTCCCCAGGAGCCTTTGGAAAACACACGGCCAGCTGTCTGACCCGGCTCCTGGGTCCCCGGTGTGGAAGGTGCCCCCAGCCCAGCATCTGAAAATGTCTGTCAGCCCAGACCGAAGAAGCCGTCCTTCATGGGCGCTCCCTCTGGGCTGCAGGTCTTGGGTCGTCCTCGAGACGGGAGGCATTTGGCTCCAGGGTGSGTGCGGTGGCCTGGGGGGGCCTGGGCACTCCCTGTTGGAGGCCACYGGCTGGTGAAGTGGCAGGAGAGCCAGCCTCGCGGAGTGGGACGTCCACAGATGGGGCTGGGGACATGGGGAAGAGGAAGGGCAGGCGCTGGTGTCCCCGTGTCCCTACCTCAGGGAGTCCTGGCCGTCACCTGCTCTGTCTCGTCTTTTTGGTGAATGGATTTGTATCATGGCAGGTTAACACTTTCTTCCCTCGTTACTGAAATTTCGATGACCAGTGCTTCCTTTGGACGTGACCGTCACCTGTGGAGGGGACCTGCTGGTGTTTTGGTCACTTTGTATAAGCCAGAGTGACCGTCACCTGTGGAGGGGACCTGCTGGTGTTTTGGTCACTTTGTATAAGCCAGAGTGACGGGGAGAGCCGCCCCAGCAGAGCCCAGCCTGTTGGTGGGGCCTGAGTCGGTGCAGCACGTGTTACAGGAGGGAGCTGTGGTCCCTGGGACAGCTGCCCTCACAGTGGACGCGTGCAGCCCCTTCCTGGGGTTTGGTCCTGTCCTGATATGCGGGCAGCCGAGCGGCCTTGCTCACCCAGCACTGGGTTCTCCATTCTGCGCGTCCAGCTAAAGCAAGTTGGTTCGTCTGCCCAGCGGCCTGTTTGCTGCGAGAAGTCGTGGTGTTGGTGATGTCSTTCATGGATGCCTTTCAGGGAGGACAGGGCTGGGAGGGCAGGTGTGGGAGGCCCAGCCAGGGAGTCTCTGTGGCTCAGAACTCAGCATGCACCACACGCATGCTCCATTGAAGGTGCACGGGGAAGGGCACACAGATGCGGCCACAGCGAGTCGTGCTGTGGCGGGTGCTTCCTCAGGTTGGAAGAGCTACGTGCCCGGGCCTTGTTCACAGCCATGGTAGACTGCAGACATCMGGTCTCATGCTGTGGTTTCCCGGGMCCCTGCGGGGGGTGAGAGGAGAGAGAAGGGCCCCATTTCACGTGAGGCAGAGACCCTGAGCCAGGAGGCATGAGGTGGCCGGCGAGGTGGCCAGCCTCAGGTCAACCTCTGGCATGGGCACTGGTCCCTCCAGAGCCCCCAAGGAGCAGGGGCCTGTGTTGCCCTGGCTGCCTGGAGGCACTTCCGCAACCTGGGCTTGGAGCAGGGGCTCGCACGAGGTCCAGGCAGGGTCTGGGCTTGGCCCCGGCTGTCCCGTAGCCTTAGAGCCGCGGGTGAGGGCATTCAGCAGGCCCTGCTCTCCCAGAGGCGCTGAGCTGAGATGTGGGAGGCGTCTTCTTCAGGGACCTGAAGGAAAGAAAGGTTCAGCTGAAGTGATACATAAAACAGGCCATTTGGGTATGGGTATATTTTGAAGAAATTATACCCATTTCCTTAATTTGACAGGACAAACATAAAGTACAGATTTATGACTTTAGATGTAAATGTTTTTACAGTATACATAAAATCCATATTTTTTACATTAGTATCAGTCATATGTACAAAAATGGGTTGAATGTTAAATCTGAGAAAAGAATTGCATTGTCACAGTGTGTTTGCAATTTTAATGCAGATTATATCTCCTGTCCCAGATGTCCTTATTAGGGCAGAAGACCAGGGCTTATGTCCACCTTTTCAAATGGCCTGATTTGGCCCGTTTTGGGGTTCCCCTGTCACAGCGTTGGGAACCAGGAGGTCTGCATCATGGCACAGGTGGGAGCTGTGGAGTCCTGTCTGTGGCAGGCAGGTYGGTGGACAGTGTCCCCACAGCGCAGGGGCTTATTCACCCACATTTTCCTTCTAAGTGATTGGTTTCCCCAATTTAAAAGGAAGTTAAAGTGACCGTTTTTCTCAGAATCCCTGCCTTGTTATCACACACAGCCGTGCTGTTGACACACACGCTGGTGTGGCTGGCCTGTTCTGCTTTTAGTAAAATAGGGAGATACTGAATTATCAGGCGTGTTTTTTCTAGGAATTTCTCCTACAACTGAAAACTTTATTTTCCCTCATAATTCTGTATTTAACAGAAAAAGGTCTATACCGGGGCTGGGTTGGGCCCAAGAGAGGTCTGAACGCGCCCGAGGTCTCTCCCTTGGTCGTGTGGCTCGGGGACACAAAATGCAGCTCCAAGAGGTGCCTGGCTTGGTTTGCCAGTCAGCAGGAGAGCAGGGCCCTGGTGGCAGGGGTCGCCTTGACCCAGCAGAGTGGACTGGACTCTGAACACTGAAGAGTGACCTTGAACTCAGCCAGGTCCAAACCCAGGTTCTCATGAGAAGTCAAGTGGAGGCCGTAGTGAGTCAGGGTGCCCAGCACGCCCTCTCATCTCCTTCGCTGGGACAAGTCTGCCTCGTTCCCAGCTGACGCATCCTGCATCCGCTGCTCCCCTGGTTCTTCTCCTGTGATTGTGAGGTGGCCCTGAGCTCCCTGGTGCCGACCCCTGTTTTTCAAGGACACTTCCTACTTGTCTTACTGGGTCCCCGTGGTGGGCGTGCCCTTCCTCCCCGCCCTCCCTCCCTGTCTTGAGGCAGACTGGAGGCCTGACCTTTAACCTTTGCCCTCTGACTGCTCTTCTGAGTGGAAGAAAAAGGGTGAAATCATAGCTGGCCCATGTGACTGCCCCACATAGGAAGGCCATTTGTCACAAAGGACCGCAGAGAAAACACAGGAACAATAGCTGGGATGCCTGGCGTGTCCTGTGGGGCCACTTTCTGTGCCACAGGTACTGGTTACTGCTGTGTCTGGTTTCACCCAGTGACTCCTGAGTGCGCTTCTGTGCAGGGCTCAGAGCCGTGCCTGAGGCACACAGGGGCCTGGGGTGGCAGATTCTAGCCCTGTGACTATGAGTAAGTGTCCTTTTCTTAGTCGGCACTGACTTTAGGAGCAGGATGCTGGGTGGCACTCTGTGACCACGTGGGCAGCCCGTGATTTCGACTCTGCTGGTTTTTGTTTTGCTCCTGGGCCAATGAGTTCAAAGAAAGCGTCCCTTCTCAGGGCGCGTGCAGGGCAGCGTGGCCGGGCCGGAACCAGTGCTTTGCTTCTGGTGGGGCTAGCAGACATAAATAAATAAACTTATGCTGGGATCTCATCCTTAGGAAGCATAAATATTTAAAGACCAAAGATATCATATGAGTAGTGTTAGAAAATATTTTCTTTTCTCCTATTTTGAATGAACCAGACTAATAACTTACTATTAAAACAAACAAGAAGGGGAGGATGCACTTGTGTGCCAGGTTCTGATCCACAGGAGTCTCCCGCCTCCCCCTCTGCCCTCCTCCCTGCCGCAGGGGAGTGGCACCAAGGAGTTGAGGGTGGTCAGAAGAGGCTGGCACTGGGCTTCCCTGGGCCTCCCCCAGGCTGGACTCTGGCTGGTGCCTGGGGCTGCAGAGACCTCCTACACCTGCCGCTCACCTGGGCTCAATCACACACACCCCGGGGCCTGTGCCCTCCTGGTCACACTGGGTCAAGGTCCTTGCTAGCAAGCACAGGGGACAGGCACATTTTGCTCTTTCGATAATGGAAGGGACAGGGGTGTCTTGGTATGAGTGGAGACGGCCCGTTTCTGCCTCGGTCCTTCTTTCTGTGATCATGGGAAGCTGGTGGTCAGTTTCCCACAGGACTCCTTTCCCCCGCGTCCTTCCTTCATGTTCTGAGGTCTCCCTGGCAGCTGCATCCTTCTGCTGTGCCGCTCAGGTGCACCTCAGTGCCACTCCCAGGACAGTGGGCCAGCTCAGCTGTCCTGCACGTGGAGTGAGGCCACGTATGCTTCTCCACGCACCTCCTTCTGTCGAACCCACACGGACCATAAGCGCAGGTCGGGGGTCTTTTCGGGAGCCCCAGAGACCACCCCACTCTTGAGTCACTCCTGAATTCTCTGCTCTCTCTTTCAGAATGAAGCGCCCTCCGGCTGCACCGCCCGGAGGTCGACAGCGGAGATTTCAGCCTATTTCCCACCGAAGCTGGAAGCTGCATGCGACGTCTGTCGGATCTGGGCCATTGCACGTGGAGACCTCTGAACTGGACAGGAACCAACCAGGCCCAAGCGCCTGCCTGTCTCGCTTGTCCCGGCCGGGGCCTGCATCATTGTGCAGTGTGTGTTGTATTTTGTTTTATTTTATGACTTAAATTAGCCGAAGAAGTTATTCTGGAGCAAATTGGATGTTTTTATTGGCCTTCTTAAATCGTAGCCGGTGTCTTCATTTCTTCTTACTTTTATTTTGGCAAAGCAGATCTATCCCTCAGCATGCTAGGAGATGCTACCATACCCACCGAAGTGGTAAAATCTGGTATTTACTGGCTTACACTCAGCTCTACCACAGTCCTACCTCAGTCCAAGGTAACGCCGGATCACGTGGTCGGGGTGCAGAGGCTTCCTGCACGTCCACCCCAGGGCTCGAGCGTGGCCTTGGCCTCGCCGACCTGCCCGAGTGGACACAGGTTCCAGTCCAGGTACCTGCGATGTTGACTGGTGCACGGAGCCCAGCGTGGGACTGACAGTTCTCCATGGAAGTGAAATCTGGGATCGGACTTCGAAGATGGATTCGTAAATAATTCTTATTAAGTGTAACTGAAGCAACCTACTTTTGAAAATCATCAGTTGTATTGGGTGGTGGGGTGGGAGGGAGGGGTCCTGGGCGGGTGACTCTCTCTTTTTACCTTTAACAGGCTTGTCTATCCTTCTCTGTGTAGCTGTTCGTGTAGGTACTTCAAGTTGCAAAAGCCTTTTCTCCCCTGCAGGAGCTCAGATGCCCTGCTGCCCTGAATCCTGAGCTTACGTTCTCTTAACCAAAACCTCGTGTAGGCACGCTGGTGGTTCAGGCTGCTGGGGCCTGCAGGCTTCATGTCTGAAAGGTGTTAACTACTGCTCTCGCGCTGGCCAACAAGGCGGCCCTGAAGAGAGAGAGAGAGAGAGAGAGAGACTGACAGAGAGAGGCATCGTAGCTAAGCTCCTGTGCTGAGTGGAAGGAGAAGACCAGTCTCTCACAGTGCACGTCACTTGTCAAAGAAATCCTTGACAGACCCCTGGTTTCACGTTTTCAGTGTTCTGGAAATTTCAGTGTTGTGGCAATTATCGGTGATCACAGATGTCACCCAGCATGGCTGAGCGTGCCCCTGGCTGCCCCCTCAACACGCTCTGGAGGCTCGGCCTCCCCCAGTGCCTGTGCCCCTGGTGGTCCTGCAGAGGCTACACCCGTTCTTGGAGATGTGAGTTGTTGGTCTGTTTGGGTTTTTTTTGTTGTTGTTTTATTTCTGTTTGGAGAAAATATATATATAAATATAAATATATAGAGATCTATATCACTATAGAATAATGCATTAATCAAATGAGGCTTTTTAGAGGAAGACCAAAAAATTCAATGTCTTAAAAATATATTTAACGGCAATGCAAACGTCTTCCTGCTTCCGTGCTGAACTCAGAACAGAGGATTGTATTGCAAGACAAAGCTGAATGTAAAGTGATCCCCTGAGCATTCTCCAGGTCTTTCTTTTCTGAAATCACACGTCACCATAACGCAGAGGCCACGCGGTGCTGGTCTGACCGTCAGCTCCCGAGCGTCCTCTGCACACGTCGGTAAGATGTATAAAATGCCCTCGAGTTCTCTCTGGTGGGGACTAGGAGCCCCCCGTGGTTTGCTGAGACTCCCCCAGCACAGTAGGATGAGGGGGAACTGCTGGACGCAGCGCTGGAGGAGTCGTGGCTCGGACAGGGCGTCCATGTCCCTGCTGCCACTTAGAAGGAGAAGAATACAAAGTCGATGATGTACTAAATTTTCCTCTATCCTGTACATTTCAAAAAGAAAAAAAAAGGCATATGCAATATTTACATTTTTAATTTAGTTTACAGAATGGAACCAAAATGTGTAAATGTTATGTTTGCTAAAACTTCACAATGTACATTGGGTCTTTGTACATTTTGCCTGACTTACCTTAAATTTAAAATATTTTTTTGCTATATGAACTTTAACAGTTATTAAACAGTGTTTTCTTTGGGTACGTATTGTTTCTGGATATCAAGATGTTAAATATATTTCTCGTGTTGTGTTAGGACGAGAGACTCAACCTACCCTGCTCCGTCTTCCGCTGTACGCTCTGTACAGAGGGTCGACGGGTCGCTGCTGGAGACGAGAGAAAACTGGACTAGAGTAGCGCATTGTATTTAGTCTGTATTGACCATGGATGCCCTCCTTAATAGCCATATGCAATAAAATAAAATACATTATTTATGAAATGAATGATGCTCAGAGGATATTTTTCCTGCACGGATTCTGAATGCCACAGAAAGCCAATCTGCTCCTGGGGTTTTAGAGTCAATGAATAAATATTAGGCTCCTAAATAGACTTCCTTGGATACTTTCTAATTTTAAAACTTTTATTCTACAAACCAGAAAATGTTCCTTAAATCACAAAACTTTATSAAAAATTAATGTTCGAAGGAAAAAACCTTTTTATTTACAAGACCCAGTTCAGCGGGCTGCGTGTTCTTCTAAACGCTTTATGGATATGAGCTCCTTCATGGCCCATAACAGCCTCGGAGGGAGGAGTTGCCACTCCAGGTTTATGGATGAGGAGACTGCAGCACAGAGAGGTTAAGTGACTTTTCTCAGACACACAGCTCATGAGTGGCAGGAGTCAATCCCACCTTCTCTCCACTGTGCGCTCTCCCTGACACACAGACACAAGAAGAGACACCAGCACACTCCTCCAGAGTACCAGGCAGTGTGATCCTCAGACCCAGCGGGTGCAACTTGGCAGGCAGAAAACACAAAAGTGAAGGCAGCTGACTCTTGTCAAACACAGTCCAGCCTCCTGGTCAGAAATCACTTTGCCCTAAAATCATGGTCACGTGACGTGTGTGCTTCTCCCTTAAACACAAAATCAGAGCCTTCTGGAAGGTGGGCAGGATTGTGCCCACTGGTGTGGGGGAGCTTGTGGATGGGTCACTCTAGCCCGTGTGCCTGCCCTGCCTCAGTGGAGTGTTCCTGGGGCAGGCGGTGTGCGCTGCAGGGGCCTCACGTGAGTCCGTCCCTGTCCTGGTGCTGAGTGAAGCCAGCCTGCCAGGTGGGCGGCCAGGGGAGCCCAGCTCAGGTACTTGTGCAGGTGGAGTTCCCTCCAGAGTCCAGAGGTCTGGAAGGACTCGGGTCACTCTGGAGTTCCACAGGAGAGCCCAGGAGGTGCCGGACAGAGCTCCCTCGGGGCTGATTTTGGAGGAGCTCGATCCTGACGTCCGCGGGGCAGATACACAGCCGGTTCTGTGGCTGTCCGCCTGCAGGTGTCCGAGCCGGACCTCACCAGGATAGCGGCTGGTCCCTCACCCAGGCCACCGGCCGGCTGGCCCATCAGGGACGTGTGCCTGCACCCACGGAGGGTGCTCCGCATCCCTCATGGCAGCCTTTGGGTCCCACCAGTGGGCGCGCAGAGGGGGGCGGTGATGCCCTGGGGAACTGCCGCGGCCCTTCCCTGAGGTCGCCCGTGAGGGCGGCTGTGCCCCTTCCTTGAGTGTACAATGAGTGGACATCGGGGAGGGACCCCAGTGTGACGGGACTGCTGAGGCCGGTCACAGCTGCAGACCCAGAGCGGCCGGGTCCTCTCCCGCTGCCTCTCCTGCGCTCAGCTCCTCCCTCCGYAGCCGCTGGGTGGCCTCCCTCTGCGAGTCATGAGGCCACCTTCATCTCAGGAGTGTCCTGCTTTCCCTGGGTCCAGTTCTCACAGCAGCTGGGGGCTTGGTGGTGTTGGTCAGCGTCGCCGGCGGCTGTGGAGACCCCTGGCTGGGCTCGGGGCTGGGCTTCTCCACTGGGTCAAGGGCTGGGCCCAAATCTAGTCTCTGAGAAGTTCCAGATGCTGATGCTGCTGGTCTGGGGCCACCCTTTGCCAACCACGGAAAGCGAGGGGTTTCTCCTCTCCCGTCAACGCCGTCCAGGCTGGACACCTGGCAGCCGGCCCTTTTCCTCTCCTCAGCCGTCCCCGGGCCTGGGCTTTCCTGTTGGAGTCCCCGGTGTTGTAGAGGGTAGTGGCYGCTCTGAAGGGCAGGTCCTGCCCTGATCCTACCCAGTCAGGACGGCACCCCCTTGGGGACCTCTGGGGAGAGAKGGGAAGACCCCGGGACCCCAGCAGCTTCCTGTGGCCGCCTCGGGCCCAGGCGTCCTCTCGGGAGGGGACGRGAGGAAGGGCTGGTGCTGAGCTGAGAGGCTCTGGGCTGGCAGAGTCGGCTTCCCGAGAAGAGAAGGGTGTGGAGGGGGGTGTCCAAAAGGGACCAAGGAGCAGGCACATGGCTGCCAGCTCCCCCGGAAGAGGGGACACCCCTGCTCGGGGGATCTCACCTCCAAGTGCGTCCCCCGCCCACGGCGAGCAGGCCCCGGAGCCCAGGTGGGTCTGTGACGGGGGATTTGTCACAGAGTGCCAGCCAGCGGGAGGCTGGAGGAGCCTCATGGGCCATGGCCGGCCACCGGCCCGTGTGCACGGCTGCTCCTGGGGGACCCTGACCTAAGCCCAGCCCAGACCTTCCAGGGGGTTTGCTCTGGTGGTTGAGTCCTGAGCAACCCGGGAGCGTGCCAGGAAGGTGAGGTTGGAGGGCTGGAGCTTGGGCCTTGGAGGTGGGGAGTGGAAGCCACGGAGGGACTGATGGGAAATCCGTCAGGTGACCTCAAGACAGGACTGGGCCAGAGAACGGCACAGGGCAGAGAGAAGACGTGTCCGGCTTCCAGGAGGAATCATTTTGCAACAAGGAGGGTGCTGAAATGCCGGCTTGGATGGCTTCAGGGGCTTCCGTGGGGCCTGGGAGCGGCCTTCTCTGGGCACTGGGAGTGTCAGACAGGCCCTGGGCTCGGCCACTGTCCCCCGGGCCTCAGCATCTCACCCTGGGTGGAGGCAGGCTGGGGCCCTCTGCTCACGTGGGCGGCTCTGCTGGACCCAGGCAGGGCACAGCCGACAGCTGACCAAGCCCAGTCCAGCCCTGCTTGGTTCCCTGGGGTGAGGGGACCCAAGCACTGGAGCTCAGAGGCAGACAGTCACGGCGGTGTCACCCGTGTCCCCCACAGCACCTGTCCACAGAGGGGAGCACGCACTGACCCCAAAAGCCGAACCTCAACCACGTTCATTCACCCAGTGACGTCGTTGCCCCCAAGATCCCTGAGAGAAGCCCGTGCGGGTGCTGGACGCTGGAGGCACTTTGGACACAACACTCAACCCCGCGCGGCCCTCCCGCTTCTCACTTGAAAGCAGGGGACCTGWGTCCTCGTTCCCTCTCCCCCGCCCTCCCCCACTCACGGTTGCCGTGGAGACCTGTTTGCTGTCAGGGGGACAGAAAGCCCTGTTGGCCCTGCGCAGACCCCRGATGGCCCCGAGTCCTCCTCCGCTCCTATCCATCCAGTCCCGCTTCTGGTCCTGCCGGCGAGCTGACTTCCAGTCACAGGTTCACTAAAAACAAATCCTCAGGCTGTTCTGGGTCTCCCTGGGATGTGTTGTTCCCTGCCAGGGGATGGCCGGCTCCTCGGGCCACAGACTCCCAGTCCCCTGCCTTCTCACATGGGGCCTCGCTGCTAGAAACACCTGGTCCCAGGGGGCCTTCTCCTGCGCAGAGCCTGCGAGTCCCGCCTTCGCCCCAGCG